GCAGAAGGAACAGATAAAAGTGCTATTCTTACAGGAAACTCATTGGAGGCAAAAAGATAAAATACGTTTTGGAGGTAGAAAACATCCAATTACGATATGCTCCTCTCAAAAAGATTTTTAAAAATATATTCTTAAATGAGCTTCAAGTTAAGATTCTGCATCAAGTCATTGACCCGGAGGGGAGATATCTAATCCTCATATGTATAATTGATAACGTGGAATACATGCTGGTTTATTTGTATCTACCGAACATAAATCCATTTTTGACTCTAAAGAAAATCTTTGATATTCTAGAACACATTAAAATTGGATTTATGATTACAGCGGGTGATTTTAATAGTATTTTGGACCCAACCCTGGACAAAATACAAGCGACGGGACATAAACCAGTTAAAACTTTATGCAAACAGGCTAGACTAATATCAAATATATTAAATAGCAATGACCTGTTTGACATTATGGCGAGTATTACACCCAGATTTGAGAGATTAAAACCCATTTCTCAAGAGTTCATCTCTCACACTCAAGGATAGATATGCTCTGGGGAAATTTACAATTACTGGAAAAGGTGGATAAAATTGAAATTAAAAACAATACCTGGTCAGATCATGATATTCTAATTTGGGATATCCAAAAAAACAAAACAAATGCCGGAGCAATGCTTTCCCGTTTACTATAGTTCCTTATACAACCTCAAACAAACACCAGATAAATATAAAATAGAAGATTATATATGGAAATCGAACTTAAATAAAATAACAGATTTACAAAGAGAGGAAATAAACGGTCCAATAACCAAACTGGAAATTTTAAGAGAAATAGATAAGATGGAGAAACATAAAACACCAGGCCCAGATGGTTTCAGCAATATTAATAGCATTTAAGGAACAGTTACTAGGACAGTTATCGGTGACATTTAATCACATTGTTATACAAGGGGCTTCTTGCTACCAATTCTCAAACAAGGCAAAAACCCTACGATAGTACGATAGTAGAAAATTACCACCCAATCTCATTACTAAAGGGTATGTTAAAATATTTTCAGCAATATTAGCCCACACATTAAAATCCATATTAAAGGTTATAATCCATCCAGATCAAATTGGGTTTGTTCCACTAAGATGTTCCTCTTAACACAAGAAGAATGATTAATATTATAGATTCATCTACAAGGAAAAACATATCCACACTGACCCTGACGATACATGCTGAGAAAGTTTTCGACAGGGTCAGTTGGGACTTTATGAGTCATACACTACATCACTGGGATTCAGGGCTGGATGCAGCACGCCATTATAGCATTATATACATTTTCCTCAGCAAGAATAGTTGGCCCTAACTTATGTTCTAGTTGGTTTACTAACTTATGTTCTAGTTGATTTACTAACTTATGTTCTAGTTGGTTGCCCTCTATCTCCACTGCTCTATATTATGATCATTGAACTCTTTGCAAATAAAATAGGAAATAATGTGGATATTAAAGGATTCGGTTGTAAAGAAAATGAATTAAAAATGTATCTATATGCGGACGACATTTTAATAATTTTAGATCCAATCAATTCATTACAACATTTGATGAAAGAAATAAGGGAATACTCCCAAGTAGCAAACTACAAGATAAATATAGACAAAACCACAATTATGGATTTAAACATTGATAAAACATCAAAAGAAATTATTAAAGCAAAATGTAATTTCATCTGGATAAGTAAAGAAATGCCGTATTTAGGTATCAAACTAGCAAGATATAAAAATAAAAAGAGAAATCTACTTTTTCTCACTCACTCTTACACAATATTAATCACCTATTAAAACACTGGAGAAATATAGAAACATTGTGGATGGGAAGAATTAACATAGTAAATGCACATATTCTCCCTAAATGCCATTTTATGTTTAAGATGATCCCTTTAAAATTCCCAGATTGGTGGCTAAGTTTAGCTCAGAGAAGTCTCTTAAGTTTTCTATGGAAAGGGAAAAAAACATGACTAACCCAAAAGGTATTAGCCCAAAAACAATCAAATGGAGGAGCAAATCTCCCTCTAATTAAAAATTCTTACATGGCTAATATGTTATATCACATATGCAACTAAATCATGTAAAAAATGAATGTTGGCAACAAATAGAGACTGAGACTTGCCATGTGAAAGATTTATTTATTCTTTATTATAGTACCCAGAAAAATAAAAAAAACATTTAAAGAGGCTATAAGTGATAATACTATCCTAGATCAAATTTTGAGGTTCTGGACAGATTAAAAAATAAATGGGGCATAAAAGATCAGATTCCAGAATCGGTCCATGTAAATTCTAGAGCAGTGGAGATGGAGGGGTATTCTCTCTATAAGTCAAATTATAACATCATATGAAGTAAAATCTTTCCCAAAATTAAGACAAGAATTTCAGCTACCAGACTCAGAAATCTTCAATTATTTAAGGATAAAACAATGTATAAATAAAAACTTAATAAAACAAAAACCAATTATAATAGATAAACTTCTCAATATTATTAAATACGAACCAGTAAAAAGGGTAATATGAAAAGGAATGGATGTCTTGATCTCACTAGATAAATTAACAACAACCTCCATTTTCCAAGTATGGCAAAAGGAAATACAATCTAACAGGGCCAAACTGGTTATTCCAAAGCAGCCCTGGAAAAAAAAATCAATGCCAGCCCCATAAGTCATTGCGCCATATATTGTCGCATGTAATATGTCAGGCTATGTCTTGCCACCCTAGATGATTGATATATATGTGTGTATATATATATATATATATATATATATATATTTGTGCTTGGAATTTAATACGTAATGGATAGTATCTGTAAGGACAAAGTTGGTTGTGGTGTGCCGAAACCAACGTACGAGTGGGCCTGTAAATAAAAGAGGGCCCACCAAGGAAAAAGTAATTATAACAGGATGTAGGTGGGTGGGGACAATCAGCTGAACGGCAGAGGTGAGTAGGGGCTGGGAGTTTAAGTAGGGGACTTACTCCTCCCACAAATTCAGGCCTAATGGCCTTTCTACTTGTGCTCGGAATTTAATACGTAATGGATAGTATCTGTAAGGACAAAGTTGGTTGTGGTGTGCCGAAACCAACGTACGAGTGGGCCTGTAAATAAAAGAGGGCAAAAGAGAAGTTCGAGAAAATACACACTTTATTGCCTTTTTACATAACCAAGTTCCTGAAAGCTTGACGAAGCTCTTTTTCTGGTCGTGGAATATAAGTATGGTATATGGAGGATTTCCATTGCCCCAGTCTCTTGATGATGTGGACCAGTGTATTAGTGCTGGAGCCTGAAGAGGCGGCTCCTATGCGAAAGGAGTGCCCGGAGAATGAAGTTGGATTGAAACCCAGTTTAGATAATAGTGTTCTGACGTGAGACGTGAATTTAGTAGTGGTATGCGGGTGCCGTTGTATTGATAAGAGCGGAGAGTCTGGTAAGTGCGCGTGAAGGGTTGACCGTAGGTGGTCTAGCACCTTGACCGGACCCCAGGCATTATCAGTAGGGAAGAGAGGAATTACAGTGGGGTGTAGTGAAAAAAAATGGTTGGTTTTAGTTGACGGGATCGAAATTAGATAGTAATCCTTCACCTTTGTGAGGTGCGATGTTTTTAGGCTGTGCGTGATATCCCCTTGACGAACAATGGTGAACTCTCTAGGTCTGAGAAAACCGTAGAAAGCAAGATAGATAGCCGCTTTGATCACCAGGTTTGTGCCGGGATCAAACGGGGATTCGTCAAGGAGATTGCTAAGTGATCGGAAGATAGGCCCATCTATAGGTAGTCTTGTGATAGTGAGAGGAGCTGAAACCTTTAGCATACCTTTCAATACCTTATTAATGGGATATGATGACAAGAAGGGGGTGTTAGGGAAATTTGTGAGGCTATGGTGCTGCACCACGGTGAGGTAAAGTTTTATGGTGTTGTGGGAAAGTTTAAGATGTAAGTGGTAGAAAGAGGCAAAAGCCACCATGGTTTGTATAGAAAGGTTGCCTTGTAAACCGAATTCTGCAGTGAATTTGTTAAATATGATAAGTGCCCTATTATAAGAGATAGCTATGTTAGGTGATAGTGCTTGGTGAGTGAGAGTCCTAGCGTGATGCATTAGTGTGCTCAGTCCAGGATTAGTTCGTGAAACTGTGGTGTCCTGGATGGCTGGTGGTGAGCCGTACGGAGTGCCTGAGAGAATACCTGGAATTGAGAGCGAGAAACAGCGTCAGCTGCAGTGTTGTGGATACCCGGAATGTGAAAACAAACTAAGTGAAACTGACCGGTTGCTGCTAGCAAGGTCAGCTTGCGAATCAGCCGCATGATGGTCAGGGATGATGAGCGCCCCTTGTTAATGATTTTGCAAGCTGCCGAGTTGTCAGAGTAGCATTTTACTGCCTTGCCGGACCAGAGATGACCCCAGGTGTGTGCGGCCGCCAGAATGGGATAGATTTCAAATAGGGCTGAGGTCTCCCTGAATCCTGGCAAGGCATCAGTCTCAGCGGGTCAGTGACCCCTAAACCAGTGGTTCCCAAAGATGGCAGTGTTGGCTGCAGCATCTGTGTGAATGATGGGTGAGGAAGTGGAGAGAGGGGGGATAAACATGGAGATACCGTTCCACTCAGCCAAAAACTTCCCCCACATAGCTAAGTCAGTCTTGGCGTGGGGGTCCAATGAAACTGGGCAAGAGTCCGGTACCCCATGGAGCAGGCAAAGAAGCCTGGATATAAAAGACCTTCCCTGCGGGATGATGCACATGGCGAAGTTCAGGGATTCCAGAAGGGACTGGAGTTCCTTCCTGGTGCAAACATCATTCCACAGGAACATGTCTATCTCCCCTCTCAAGCGGGTCAGTTTGTTATGGGGAAGGCTAGCTCTGAGGGTAACGGAATCTAGCTCTATCTCCAAAAAGGTTAATTTAGTTGTGGGACCAATTGTTTTAGATGGGGATAAAGGTACTCCAAGTGTGGAAAAAAGTGCTGTAGTGCGGCTGATAGCAGTGGGTGTTTGTGCCCCTGGCTCTATCAGTAGGAAGTCGTCTAGGCAGTGAATAACGGAGTGACACCTGAGGACGTTCAGAAGCAGCCAGCATAGTGTCTCAGCGAAGATATCGAAAAGTTTGGGGCTGCTTCGAGAACCGAAAGTGAGTCGTGTGGAGAAGTAGTACTTTCCTCGCCATTTAACACCGTGCAAGTGCCAGAGTGAGGGGTGCATGGGTAGTAACTTAAATGCGTTTGTGATGTCTGTTTTGCTGACCAGGGGCGATTACCAATAGAGATGATGGCCTGTATAGCATCGTCTATAGTTACGTACTGGAGTGAGAATTCGTCTGCTGGAATGAGTGCGTTTATGCTGGGAACAAAAGAGGAGTGCGGTGCTGATAAATCGATAATTAGACGTTTTTTATTTGAATATTTGTGAACTGCAACGCCGATTGGGTTAGTGCGCCAGGAGGAAAAAGGTGAGGAGGTGAAAGGCCCGATCATGAAACCATTGGTAATTTCAGAGGAAAGGAGAGTGTCTGTGGAGACTGGGTCTAGACGTGCTGACAGGAGATTAGGACATTCAAGTGTACTTGAGGGGATGGCTACTATACCTGTGAGAAACCCCTGTGTGAACCCTGTGGACAGATATTCCACCAGGTGCCTGCTGGGTGTAAAAAAACAGGTTGTTGACATTAATGTTGGTTAGTCATTTGTAAGGGGACAACCTGGCCAGACACATGGTCTTGGAATGTGCCCTGAAGCAAATGGAGCAGATGTGCAATAATCTACATGCGCTGAAACTGCAGGAGCCTGCGTTGAAATTATTGCACACCTGCGCCTTACCTAAAAAGGAGATGGGCCTACCCAGCTTGTCACGTAGACCACCCGTTGGTTTGTTGTGAGGGGTGAAAGAGGTATGAGGGGTGGGAGTGGAGATAGTGGGATCTGCTTCAGAGGGACAGAAGTCCGCCATGTGGGATGTGGAATTACATATGGAACAAGACGGGGGCCTGAGACCAGCGAAGTGGCGACAGAATAGTTCTGTATCCATCCGACACCAGTTAATTCTAACGTTGAACTGTTTCAGATGGGTTGCCGCCTTCGCTGATACTGACTTATGATAGTCGTAGAAAGAAGAGCCCCCGTACTTGATGCCTAGATCCACCACCTTGTGAAGGTAGAGGTCTAACTCCTCTTTTCTGTGGGGATACACCATGCAGATGACGTCACGGTATATCCCGAAATCTATCAAGAACTGGGGAATTGAAAGTTTTTTTATTAAGCCTGGGATCTCTTGTCTTAAGCACTACTGATATATCCCCGTAATTGTAAGCCTTGTTCTCCAGTATGTCCTGTGAAGCTATAAGCAGAGACACCAGACACACGGCCTTCCCGTCTAGGATTTCTTTCCTGATAGAGTCTGGGACGGAGTGAGCTGGTGACTCAAAAGGAGCTATAGCTGTGACTTGTGTTGGCGAGGGGAGTATGGGGGGGCATGATGGTACAGCGGGGACAGCCAGGGTGGAGACTGGGAGGCCCAGGGTATTACCTGGGGAGGCGATGGCGCTCTCCACCTTAGATAGCCTGCTATTAAGGGTCTGTACTTGACAAAGATTGCTGCCAGGGTATCCTGGGTGGCCGTGCCATCGCTTGGTGGCTGTCCTTGAGAGCTAGTGCTTGGCCTAGGCTCAGGGGCTTGGTAGGTAAGAAGCCTGTAAAGTTCTGCCTTTCTAGATGTGGCTGGAAAGGGGATTCCGCTGAGCCTAAGCTCGGCTGTAATTTTAGGAATAGTCCATGCTCTCAAGGACGTGGGAGTTGAAGGGGTGAGAGATTCACCTGGAGACTCTGGTCTGGTTGGCATAAACGGTATCTCTTCTGGCAGTTCTTCGATGGGGATTGGTTCTTGGGACATTCTAAAAGAAAGGATTTTGCGAATCAGATATTAAAAGGGGAGTAAGGAAACGTGGGGGGGATATGAGGGATGGTATTTATTGGAAGAACTGGACTGTAATGCTAGTGCCGAAGCGAAAAACTTATCTGTGGGATTTTTGGTAGGTGAGGCCCTGCTAATGCCAAGTGGCGGTGAGAGGCTCTACCTATGATTTGGCTTAGGAAATTGAGGCCACAGACATGGTGGCAGGGTGTTGGCCTCTCGGTGACCGTTAAGAGAATTCAAAACGTGTGGCCATGACAGGTGAGGCCCTGACTAAAGCCCTGTAGGAGGGCGGGCGAGGTGTAAAACTATGATTTGGGGACGTACCTCCGTGTTGAGGTGGGAGATGGCCTTGCGGGACCGGATTTCCTAATAGGGTGAGCTAATGCGGTATCCTAGACCTGGTAGCCAGTTCAATTGTATACTTAAGGTTGACTGGGAAATTCTGGTGTAATGTGTGGATACTAACCTTGAAAGGTTGTAAACGATAACTGGAACCTTCTAGTACTTTTTAATGTGGTGAGTCTTGTCTGCTGCTGTTCTTAAAGAAGAAGCCTGAGGATTAAGACAGATGATGTATTTATGCGTATCGTGGTGACGTATGGTTTGTAGTGAAGGTTGGCTGTTAGGAGCGCAACATGAGATCCTGAATTGAGGGATCTTAAAGGTTTAGTATAGGATTGGAATAAGTTTGCGTTAAAGAGAAAGGCTGATTGAGGCCTTGGGGTAGTGATTGCCGTACGTGAGTAAGGACATAAGTACCTGATGGTATGCCTGAGTACCGGATCAGGTAGGTT